ATTGCCAGGGTGGCTTTGCCAGGGCAAAATTCCCAGGGTGGTGGGTTTGATGGGGTCGGGGTTTTTTTTTCAGGGTGGGATTGCCAGGGTGGAATTTCCAGGGCAAAATTCCCAGGGTGGGTTTGATGGGGGTGGTTTTTTTTCAGGCTGGAATTGGCAGGATGGAATTGCTGGGGTGGCTTTCCCTGGGCTGGGTGTGCCAGGGGTGGCATTTCCAGGGTGGCTTTTCCAGGCTGGAATTGCCGGGGTGGCTTTGCCGTGGCAGCTTTGCCAAGGCGGCTTTTCCCGGGCTGGCATCGCCAGGGTGGATTTGCTGCAGTGGCATCGCCAGGGTGGCTTTTCCTGGGGTGGCTTTGCCGCAGTGGCTTTTCCCAGGGCAGCTTTCTCCGGGCTGGAATGGCTTTTCCTGGGGTGCCTTTGCCATGGCGGCTGTGCCGGGGTGGATTTGCCGCAGTGGCTCTTTCCGGGGCGGCTTTTCCGGGGCGGAATTGCTGGGGTGGCTCTGCCAGATGGGTTTTGCCGCAGTGGCTATCCCGGGATGACTCCTCCAAGGGTGGCTGTGCCGGGGGTGGATGTGCCAAAACGGGACTGCCGGGGTGGATTTGCCACAGCAGCTTTTCCCAGGATGACTTTGCCAGGGTGGGTTTGCCAGGGTGGATTTGCCAAGATCATTTTTCCCAGGATGGCTTTTTCCAGGATGGCTTTTTCCAGGATGGCTTTTTCCAAGATGGATTTTCCAAGATGGATTTGCCACAGTAACTTTCCCAGGGTGGCTTTTCCAGGGTGGATTTGCCACAGTAGCTTTCCCAGGGTGTCTTTGCCAGGACGATTTTTCCAGGATGGTTTTCCCAGGATGGCTTTCCCAGGATGGCTTTCCCAGGATGGCTTTCCCAGGATGGCTTTCCCAGGGTGGCTTTCCCAGGGTGTCTTTTCCAAACTGGCTTGTCCGTGGTGGCTTTGCCGGGCGGGCCCCGCAATCCCCATTCCCGTAGCCCGGCTCCTGCCTGGATTTGTGCCGTGGAGCAGGCAGGGAGGGAGGAAGGGGGCAGTTTCCCCTGCCTGGCACATCCCAGATCCCCGGGCTGGGGGCTCCGTGTCCCCCCGTGGTGTCCCAGCTGTCCCCCGGCAGCTGCAGCTCCGGGTGCCGTCCCCACCCACGACATTCCCACCACATCTGCTCCCGTCGCTCCGGCGGCTCTGCCGGGCTCAGAGGAGGCGGGAGGGGTGGCAGGAGGGTTCCCCCCTCCCCCAGGGTCTTTGTCACCTCCCCGTGTCCCCCCCCAGCCTGCAACGTCACCATCCACAACCGCTGCAAGGACACGCTGCCCAACTGCACCAAGGTGAAGCAGAAGGTGAGCGCGGGGGGAGCGGGATGGGAGGGCCTGGACACTCCAGGGGGGATCTGGGGTGGGAACGGGGGTTTGGGGACACAGGGGGACGGTGA